GCTGTATTGACTGGGAAGCCTGTTGGGTTGCTTGTTGGATCGATTGTGAGGCTGATTGATTTGCTTGTCGAATGGCCTCAGAGGCACTCCGGCTTGCTTCGCCGCAATCTGCATTGTTCTGAGGTTCTGGGATAGGACTTCGAAGTCGAAGTTCTGGAGGGGGCGTGATGAGTGCGCTGTGTTCTTCCACCATCTGGACTCTGACCTGTATTATTGAAGTTGATGATGGCTCCAATCGCATGGAAATACTCAAGGAGCTGGGTACCCATGGTGGATCCATTTGACTTTGGGAAAAGGAAACAGAAGATAGGCCCTCTTCCAGCGAGGAGTCGAGACGCATGAGGCCAGCCTTGAGTCAGGTCGAAGACATATTAAGAAGGTATTAGAAATAGAAAAGAACGTGAACGGGCATCATGGCCTGCAGAGCATCACAAGTAACAATAAAAAGAATGGTGACATATGGGAAAGGAAGTCGGCGAAGGTTTGAAAGAATCCACAAAACGAGGGACCCAAGGGATGGGATGAGATCTGAATTCTATTGCGGACCGTGCTAACGTCGTTTCCTTCCATCTTCTGAGGTTGCATGCGCTCCTTGCACCCAAAATCACGAAGTTTTGCTATGGCATTGCCGCACCGGGCCACCTGATGCGCCTTGAACATGCAAGCGAGGGCGATCATACAGGCTAACACGTCTGGATATGCACTCGTCAACTGTCAAGATAACGTTTTGGGTCGGGGGAGACCTAGACAGGCCAATGTTGGTGGAGTTTGGTTGTGTTGTGAGTTTCAAGAACTCGCGATCCGAGCTCCGAATTTATGCACTGTGGCCCGTTTGGTACACTTGTCACTCGAAGACCGCCTATCGGACGAGAACATCAGACGGGAATTTGCACTGTCCAAGCTTTCTCGGATTCTGAAGGGCTTGACAGACTCGGGGATATATTTGATGAGAGGGGTACATCGGTACCAGTTTGATGATATCGTGACTCGCGAGATGGTCAACAGTTGAGGGAGATCAAGAGTCATCGTCCGGGTCGTCCGAGAAAGGTTTCTTCGGTTACTTTAGTGTAAGTGCTAGTGATATTTAGGCTCTATCACAACCGAATGCCCCTGAAGACAGGAAAACAAGAAAGCTTCACAAAAACGAATCGGACATTTCAATAAAACCATGCTATATGTTATACACAGCAAGACGAGCCATATTATAGCAACTGTACGCTAAGCATGAGCCCTTGTGCGAAAGTTCAACATACGTTTCACCAACCATTCAAAGCGTCTTAGTTTATCCAGGATTTTGACTTAAGCATTGCCCATTCCCACCCTGGCCAACAGACCCCGGACCATGCCGTCTGATGCACCAATGGAACAATAACAGAACTCTGCTTAAGATGGCATTCAATGACTGGGACTGGGACTGGATGGTACAATCGGGTCTATTGATCCTATCATTATTGGATTCTGTCTGCTTATATATGAATAACTCCAGTCCCAGACGCCGCCAATGCTCACGAAACTCCAGCCACCTTACTCATTCAATGCCTTCTATTTACCAGTCTTTCCTAGAAATGGTACAACACATAAACAGTTTCCCTCCCACTTTCTCTATAATGTATTCAACCTCTTCTTCCGGTGCTCAAGCAATTCCAGCGTCGCATTGTGTATCCCTTCGATAGAAGCGGTTCACACAGCTTCGCCCCGATTGAGATGTGAGGGGCGCGACTCTTATCCCATGCATTCTCTTACAGAACACTCATGCCCTCATGTTCCCATTCATCCTCCAAACTCTTCAGCCTTCCGAGGAACTCCTTCCAACTCTCTGGTGACGTGTCCGATTCGAACTCGATCGTTATGTTCTCACTCCGTCCGTCGTTGACTCTGCCGCCCATTGCATCCGGGGTTTCAACACCACACCTCCTGATGTCGAAAGTTTTGAATGCTGCATCGAGCTGGTTGGCCGCGTGTGTGAGGTGATGCAATGATTTAAATGCCTGTTTACCCGGTCAGTGAATCGTTCATCCAGACAATGGCTTTGTTGTCCAGGCCCGGAACAAAACTTACGAATCTGCGACTCTGGCAGTCACCTCGTTCTTCTTGGTCCTTCAAAACGCTCACCCGTAGGTGCCACAACGGCTCCTCCTTGGTCTCCGTGGTGTTTTTCGGTTGCCATAAGCAATGTTTATCCTCCAGATGGACCTTCTCTCCGTTTCCGTGGAGGTCGCACGAGCTGCTGGCACTTGATGTCATGACTCCGAAGTATCCTTTCATTGACTTGAGGTATGCTCTTTTGGAACTGAGCGGTTCAGAAGTATTGATCTCGAAATGTAGTGTCTTGATGTTTCGAACGATGTCGTGTGTTAGAACCAAGTGTGGGTTCTCTTTTGATAGTGGTTTGTGATTGAAATGTCCTGGATATCGTATTGGATTTAATCCTGTCGGGGAAAGAGACATCGTTGTGAGAAGCCCCCTTTCCTTATGTACAATCGGGACCTGCGGTTCGACAGAGCGTGCATCCTGTATGGCACGGCATTACAAACCGTGGCGTGAATCTCGACACTGAAGATCTGGCTATAATGAGACTTTTGCAGATGTGGTGTCACCCTCGTAGCGCTGAATCTCCTCGTGGGTGAGTGGGATGCAAAGGTCGGATGTTGAATTGCACTGGGTTTGTCACGCCACTTTCCTTTTCTCTAGTGACTTTCCACTGAAGGGTTAGTATCTACAGTGGGGTGGGTCCCTGTTCCTGGCAGCTGAACCGCTGTCTTCCGGGCCCAGATTTAGCGGGTGGCTTCAGTGCCCTTGGCAGTCGATGCGTAGCATATTGTCACCCCACTTCATGGTTCTACAACCATCTCTATTCCAACCAATCAACAAATGTCGGCACATGCATTTCACTACCATTTTTTGCTGCGCACAGAGTGACCTCGTACAGATAGGAGAGTTCTAAAGTGGCCTGATAAATGCCGTCCCAAACAGAATCGACTTGTCTATGTTGGAATATCAGTCCAGAATCACAAGCCCGTCCATACTCCAACAAAAGCTCTTCAAGGTCACTTGCTACATTTCCAGTCTGTTCGCTGTCTCTCCAAGCCACTCATTCCCACACTTTTTTTAACATGTCAAGTGAGAGAAGACTTTGCAGACAAGTACTTCTGTATTCCGCCTGGCTTACGAATACCTCCAAGCTTACTGTGCCAACTGTGGATATCGCAAAGTTTTCTCGGGCCTTTGCCATACATCGTACTACGACTCTCCAATCTCGTATGATCATGAGTTGCTATTTATGTAAGGCTGTTACATTAATGTCAGTTCGTTGGTGATGCAAAAATTGTAGGTGCTTGACGATTGATTGTTTGTTCTATCACTTGGAGCTTCCTGTATTTCTCCCCTGACTTGCGTCCCGAAAGCAACAGCTTACAGTCTCTTTGCTCGATACCGAGATTCTGGTTAACCCCCCTCCCTGAAATCAAAACCACGCATCGCCTATTGCTTAAATCTAGCATAGCCGTCGAAATCTTTCTTTGCCGGGTAATATCACCTTGTTTCTGCTCGTTGCTCCTCATTCGCTACCCACTGTTTGCTTTTACCCACTGCCACTCATCAAGTAGACAGTCTTCTTCCTAGAAACATTACCTACATCAAAATCTTCTGAATCTACTCCATAGTTTCCCTCAATATTCGCCCCCCCGCATACTTCTCTTGTGTCTTGAAACCATGCTTTCTTCATGTATCGGTGACAAAACTATCTATGATGAGGAAGATGTACCCAGTTTTAGCGAACTACCCTTTGATCATATCATTCTCGTCAGCCACACTGGTCAGAACTTAGTTCCTTACCCAACATAACCACCGAGTGCTAACAGCAACGGCTCGTGTTCAGGAGAACTGAGACGTAACGAGCCTGAAAACCGAAGCCGCTCAGAGAAGTGACTTAGTCAAGGCATGGCTAGTCCTAGGTGATCAAGGAAGGCTGGTATGCTCTTGCGCCGGGATTCAACTTCGCTCAACAATCTAATTGGACCCCTCAGAAATATTACCACCTACGAGAGGCAGTTTGGTCTACGGCCACAGTGCAGTTCCCACATGTTCCGGCCGGCGTACCAGAACATCTGCAGATGCCGCAGCAACGTGCTCAATCGTGCAACGAACACCTTATCACCATTTGGGTGCGGACATTGTACGGTAATGACGAAGCCAGCTGGGAGAAGGCCGATAAGGATTACAGGAAACTCTGTGACCATACAGAGGAACTTGCGAACTATGGAAGCCAGTTTATTCGGGGAAACTGGGCGTTCGAGGATCATGAACAGCTGCTATCTGACCCTGTCGATGTGGCTACTGAGACGGGAATAACACCGCCCTATGTCTAGGCACTACTTGAACTATACTCCGATATCCTTGAGGGAGATGTAGGCTTGAATATCAGGAGAGAGGCGTATATTCAAAGTGGTCAAGGGATAGGAAAGCAGCACCTCATGATGGTTGTTGCAGACAAGCGAGCTTGTCAGACTGGAGCTGTCTTGTCGATCGGCATCAATGATTTTGGCCAAATGGTACCCGAGAGACTTCGTGTCAAACCAGGGGATGTTCACTCTTTTTGTGTGGTTTGGGATGATGGACAGCGTCTTGATGAGAATTTTCGTGAAGGAGAAGAGGGTGTGGTTGATTGGCACTTGGGTAATAATCCGTGGATTTCTCCTTTTGTCAGGCTGAGACCAGAAGATTATAGAGGACCGGCAGTATGGTTATCACCGCAGTAGACTTTGCTGTATCGTTACTACAAAATAAAATATCTTTATGAACCATAATACTTTCGGGTTATACACAGAGACCTAAGAGTCATGACCAAAAAAAAAGCTTGATCGACCCCCGCTTTAACCCCACCACGGCGTCAAACAGAGAGACATGGGGTCTTTAACAGAGCAAAAGAATCTCCCTACAAGATTCCGAGAAACTAGCAAAGATCTCGTCCTATGAAGGAAAAAAGAAAGAGAAGGTTGTTATGATCACTACGAGGGTCGAACTCGCGACCTTGGCGTTATTAGCACCACGCTCTAACCAACTGAGCTAACTGTTTCGAATTAGTTACTGTTCGATTGATTTGAACACATGATGTGTGAACTTACGCGATCTTTTTGTATGCTGACATGGCGGAAAGTTCTTATTTGGTTACTTGTACGGGATAATGAAATCCTCGGCGAGGTGAGTGTGCATTTGTCAATGTGCCGGGAAGCGGCGAGCCCTAAGCTAAGCGAGATATTGATCTCCACTTGAGTCGAATGCCTTGTTTTCTATTGATGAACGCCTTTGAAATCGAGGAGACTGGATGTGCTTGACTCGGCGGCTATGTGCTTCGCTGTCATGTACTGTATTGTTACACAGAAGCCGATTGTGGAAGGAGTTCTGGTTCCTCTCTTAATGCTACTCCTACTAGGATAGTCATTTCCAACTACTAGAACCTGACGAGCCAAATTCTTCTTGAAAGTCAAACTTGAATCATATTGCCACTTTTCTGCGTTTTTCTCATACGCCTTTTAGATATGCAAACAGTCAAAAGACCGAAGCCGAAGAAATTCATTGTGTTCTTCACCATCATATTCCCTCATGTTGAATCCAAATGATGAGAAACCGTCAAAAATCCAATTTAGCATACTGCAGTCACAAAAACACCGCAATACGACAACTAAAAACGCATTTAACATGAATCTCAAATTTATTTTTGGCCAGCGGTGTATATAAGCACCGAATTTGCCAGCTTTCACTCTAGAAACTAACTTCATTCTGCATTTCCAAAACATCATCAAATCTCCAAACATTTTCAAGGAAACGTCGCAGACTAGAACTAACGAGAAAAACAACTCTTCAAACTAGCCCAGAAAATACAAAAATGTATCGACTTCACAACGGACAGTGGGTCTTCGCTGGTCCTAGCGGTAGCGGCAACGACAACACACAACAGCAGCAAGGCATCCCAGGACGAACGCCACTCCCGGGTGGGCGTCCAGGCTCAACAATACCATCCGACTACGTGCCGTGGTATACTCCTAGCGTATATCAGCAGATGTTTGACCGCAGACTCAAGCCTTGGTTGTTCTATGTACCTCCAAGGAACTGAGAGTGGGTTGGTGGAGAGCTAGCTCGCTGCCAGGATGATATGATGAAGGCTAACAGTTTACGTGAAGGTTCATGCGTCAAGTACGCTCATCTTTTTGTTTATGGTCGGAGAGAAGATGGACATAATAAGAGCTCCGGTTGTGGTGTGGGCAGATAGTGCATGCTTGAAAATGCCTCTTCACATCAAAGAAAGTCAATCACAATGTTTTTGAACCGCCGCCACACAAAACAGGGTTATTGGGAGAAAGTTTTGGATTGGGTGTCAGAGTTGTCCCTGGTGAATATCTAGGTCTAGTTTTTGTTCACCTTCTTTTCTCCTTTACCTATTTCTGTTTATGAATTTAAGTAATCCGGAGCTTATTGGAGCCGGATTGGTACTCTCTGGATTTGTTTTGACTCATTTGCATCTCCCGAAAGAGACCATGTGAAGAATGTCACAGGACCCATCCAAAACACTCCAACCAAACAGCCCCCGTACTCAGCTATACTCATTCGGATTCATAGGGGGGTAAAACTCCCCAAACATAAATACTAGGTCAAACAACCCCTAAAAAGAAGTAGAAATCAACACAACCTAACCCTAATGCCAAAAAGGGCCTTACTGCAGGCTGCTTACTTGAGCGAGATGTTGACATCCAGCCAATGCGATTACTCAACATACATGCCTTCCTCCCACACACAAAAATAGCCGGAAAGGGCCCAGATAGGCTACAAAATTGCTGACGCGCATCTTACGGCCGCTACCCGCCATCATCCGCCATCTAGGTATAAAGTCCGCTCTCTGCCCGCAACCGTGCCTAAGGAGCTGGATGCCAAGCCACAGGACACCGCCCACATCACATCGGCAATCGTAAACAAGCTTTCTTGCGTACCTAGATTGAGTTGAGCCTATCAGAAGATATGCAGAGAGAGATGACAAGGATGAATGTGGACGCTTCGTTTGGTGAAAGGCCCGTTAGGTTAGCTGAACATGCATGCAATTCCTGTCGAAGCCGGAAGAGGAAGTGTGACAAGCTGCTTCCAGCTTGCTCGCTCTGTACGAGGTGAGACTTCCTTATAGCTATTACGCCCTTCAAGCGAATATGTGGGTAGATTCAACAGTAACACCCAATCAGGAAATCCCTAACATGCACCTACACCACCCGATCCAGCCACGATCCCTCTCCACCCCCACCGTATCTCTCCTCACCCTTCTCCCTCTCCCCTACCCACCACTCCACCACCAGCACTCGATCCACCTTCCCCCCAGTCTTCTTCCTCGACTCCAAAGTCTTCCAACTAAGCCAACTCGAGATCCCCACCCCCTCCACACCCATCCCGCCCTACCTCCCGCCCTTAGTAGGCGAATTCAGCACCTGGCGATCGATCGCCGCGAATTTCTTCGACACGGTACATAGATGGATGCCAATCGTTTCGAAGACGCGGCTGTATGGGCATTTATTGAATCCGCTTGTACCGAGACGGACGGATGTCGCGCTGTTGATTTTGTGTATGAAGCTCGTGACTCAATCTCCTACATCCACTTCGGGTCAGGATATGGAAGATGTCGATGTTGACGAGGTGGGGGAAATGAAGGACTGGCTGCCCCCCGTGGAGTATCTCGCTGCCAAACGCTTGCATGCAGAATTAGCGGAGGGGGGTGGATACAGTACGCAGGTCTTGCAGAGTGGAGTCCTGATCGCGTTGTATGAGTATGGTCATGCGATATATCCCGCTGCGTACCTCTCGATTGGTGCGTGTGCTAGGTATGGTATCTCTGCTGGGTTGGACGGGAGTGGAGTGGAGCAGATGAAGAAGTTGTATAATTGGGTGGAAGAGGAGGAACGCAAGAGGGTTTGGTGGGCGGTGCTGATTTTGGATCGGTATGTACGGCGTGCTTGAGTTGGATCGTTCTGTTTTGCATCGTTGGATGGGCGTGCTGATGAATACAGGGCTGTTAACTTGGGAAATCCGAGTAGGTCGCTAGCGACGCAGGAGCCGCATCCGTCGAGTAATTTGCCTGCTGCTGACGATGTATGGGATGCTGGGGTATGATCTGTTCTTTTCACACGCCTGAGACACAATCCCCGAGCTGACCTATTCAGGCTTCATCACCTGGTGAATCATTCACACTCTCCTCCCCAACGAGTCTTCGAATGGGCCGATTCGCTCGCTTTGCCCAGGCTATATATCTGCTTGGTCGAGTGTATAAACATGTCTCTGACCAGACCGACGACCATATCTTCTTGCAAGAAGAGGCGATCCAGCTACGAAGAACGATCGAGGCTTTGGTGACACTGACAGAAATCGAGGGGAGCCAGGGTGATAAACTAGAGTTCTGTACCCAAACTGCTCTCTCGTACAGGTAAGTCACTCGATTCCAAACATCCTTAGTGAATCAAGTTAATATCCGTACCTAGTGGCCTCCTCCGTCTCCAAGATACATTCAGTTCTCTCCCAGTCGGCCTCTTAGAAACCGACAAATGGAGTTCCAGCACAGCGCTTGTTGAAAAAGTCGCCACATCAGCCGCCAGTCTCGCAAACATGGTCTGTCGTGGAGTTCCTTCCGTCCCTATTCATATGGTTTCTCCGTTTATCCTAGATCTGTTTTACCATGCGAGGATTATCTGGGGTGAGAGGGTTCGCCAGACTGGAAGCGAGGATGCGATTGGAGCGGCCGAAGATCTCAACGCCGCTATTGTGGGACTGAATGCGCGATGGAGAGCAGCTGGTGAGTCTTGTGGCCAGTATCTAATGAATTGCAAAGTGATGCTGACTCTTGCAGGGGCGTATCTGGAGATTGTGAAAGCGTGTGAGACGTCGTACTGCTGAAATATCCCTGGTAGGAAATGCTCAGCGTTGAACAACAATATCTTATCGTGGACCATATATATCTATTGGAGGGCGATCGATTGTGTCCGTGGTGGACTCGCAGCTGCCTTCTGCCAGAACCATCGAACTTTAGACTTGTCGTTCTGCCACAGCATTTCTAGCCGCCCATCGTTTCTCTTCCAAGTGAAAACCAGAAGTCCAAAGGCAATACCAATGATCAGACCCATGAAGCCAACGACAAGCCCTATGATATCTGCTGTGCCGATAGTACTACCCGACTTTGATGTCTTTGTATCACTTGGAGCCGGAGAGGTTGCAGAGGTGGAAAGCGAGGCAGTGGGCGATAATCCCAGAGAAGTTGAAGTTGTCGAGCCTGCAATAGCCGAACTTAGCAAAGATACTGTTTAACCGGTAGAAGATATGAACTCACCAATCTCACTCAGAGTCTCAGTCCCCAACGCCCCAAAAGCAGCAGGCTTCAAGCTCGCCGGCACCGTAAAATTATCCTGCGCGCAAAGATCCGTATGCGTGTTCCAGAACAACTTCTGCTCACTCTGGCCACACGTGCCAAGAGCCCCCGCAACACAGCTCAGTACCTGGTCGTAGAAAAGATGGACTTGTGTATCTGTCCACAGCGCATTGGGATCGCCCATCTGGCCGCACACGCAGCCTCTGAAATAGCCGGCTTGGTTCCCATTGTTGCAGGGATGGATAGCGTCTGCTTCGTCGTTGATACAGATACGTGAGGCTGGGTAGAGACAGGGGTGGAGAGTGCCATCAATGGTGCAACCAACCCCGGGCATTGTTGACTTTGGATAAGATGGTCTTTTGGAAGTGGATGAAGAAGAAATACTTCAAGACAAGAGGAACGGATGCCAGGAGCATCATATGAAATTAGAGCTGAACGCACTTGATTCGTTTTTGCCTTGTCAAGCCACGGGCGTTGCTTGGCTGGCAACGAATACGGAAAAGTTACACGAGGTTGTGATGTGAATGTGAGGCTGTGGCTGGGGCTGAGGAAGTCCTCATGCCATCGCAGACGAATTAAAAAGACGTAACACTTGCCCATCGACAAAACGAAAAAAATCGGGAAATTTTGAAATCAATAAAGTTTTTCATTCATTCGTCAAATCATACCTCACAAGTTGGCCT